GCCCCGCAGCTCCCGATGGGTTTCAGGGAGAAGAGCTACAGCAGATGGAGGAGCTCCCTGGGAACCAGAGTGTCCTCCAAACATCAGCCCAGACCCAGTGGTGCCACACGTCCTCTGCCTGGGCACAGCCCCATCCTGCAGCTCTGCCCCGAGCCCTGCCAGGCCTTCAGCACCCAGACTGGCTGTTTGCTCAAGGGAAGTGCTGGGGAAACTGGTTCTCCTGCTTTTGCACGTCCACATTTCCTGCCAAGAGAAAGCTGGACGCTCAGGACCCTGGGAGGTGGATGAAGAGGTCCTGTGGGTGGGGGGTGTCTGCTCAAGGTGCCCAGCTGCTGTTCAGGGAATGGACACATCTGCCCACGTTAAAAGGAACCAGTGCCCCACAAACATGCTTCCCTGGCGAGAAGACACCACCCGTGTGGTGCCTGTGCTCTGCTCAGGGCTGTCCACAGGGTGCTCCCACCAGCTTGGTGCTGATCTCCAACCCTCTGGGCTGTGCCCATCTCAGGAGCAGGGCTGAGTCTGGTCCTGCCATCCTTGCTAGCACAGGGTCCGTGGAAGATGGGTGGCTGGGGGGACGAGGTCCATGGAAGATGGGGTCTCTGGGTGCTCCTGCAGCTCCAGAGCACAAGGGCTGCTCCGAGGCCCCTTGGAGCCAACACATCTCCTCAGGGACTGTGACCCTGAGGTGGGGCCACAGACCACGGGTGGGACTCTGTGTCTCTCTGATGGCACATGTCCCCACCTGCCTGAGTGTGTTGCCCCACGTTAATGAGAGGCCCATTGCTCTCAGGAGCTGCAGTAGAGGACCTGGAAGCATTAGAAACTTTGCATTTGGTGCGTGGCCCCAGCTGCCCCCCAGTTCCTTCCTGGGACAAGCTCCAGGATGGATGCAGACCTGGAACACTCCCATTCATCCCTCCTTTCAGCAGCCCAGGAGACCATGACATGCACCATGGCCAGTCACTGCTGTGTCACTTCAGCCCCAGCCAGGTCTGTCCTTCACTGCTCACATGCCTCAGGGCCATCCGTGGCTGAGCTTGCCCCAGGCTGGTGGCAGCAGGTTTGCTAAAGGATTCAGACTGGCAACAAGACCCAGATTCCTGGGATCAGAGACAGAAACAGCAGCTCAGACAGTCTCAGTGCCTGGGAGGAGCGGGTGGAGTCACTGCAAGCTGAGGGAAACCACAGCTCCATTCCAGCTGGGAAATCATTACCAGTCCTTCTGGCTGAGAGGCAATTAAGATATTATCACATATCCTCTGGCATTATTTCTTCACTGCAGAAGGATCAGAAGTGACAAGGGGTACTCCACGGGGTCCTGCTGGCCCAGAGCTGTGTAACATCCTTGTCACAGACAGGGGCAGTGGGCTGGAGGCACCCTCAGCAGGGCTGCTGATGACACCAAGCTGAGCAGTGGGGTCAACGCTGCTCAGGATGGATCCAAACAGAGGGACCTGGAGAGGCTTGAGGGCCTGTGCAAACTTCATGAAGCTCAACAAAGCCAAGCACAAGGTCCTGCACCAGGGTCAGGGCAATCCCAAGCATAAATCCCAGCTGGGGGTGCAGGGCTGGGGAGCAGCCCTGGGGAGAAGGCCCTGGGGGTGCTGGGGGTGAGGAGCTGGCCAGGGGCCCCCCCAGCCTGGGCTGCTCCCCCAGCAGCGTGGGCAGCAGGACAGGGAGGGGATCCTGCCCCTCTGCCAGCTCTGTGAGACCCCCCTGCAGTGCTGGGGCAGCTCTGGAGTCCT